AGGGCAAAAAGATCCAGGAACTGTCTCACCCTCGTAGTCTTTTAATCGATATACAGGTCTCTGACCCCTGGTTAAGGCTTCATCCACTATGACTATCTCATCGGTAAATGTCTGTTCATAACCTTTTTCAAAAGCTCCTTTGGTTTTAGATAAAATATCTCCACATCCTAGTTTTTAAAGTTCTGTTAAACCGCTCCACAACCCCTGCTTTGACTTCATTATTAGCAACAAAATGGGGAATGCCATGCCGTTTTAACAATCTGCTTAAGGGTTTGTTTAAAAATTCTTTCCCCTGATCGGTTTGTAATTTTTGAGGCACAGGCCCTTCGCTAAAAATAGCTTGAAAGGCCTTGGATACCTCACCACTCGTCTTGTCTCTTAGGCCTAAGGCCCAGGCATATTTGGATAGAATGTCTACCACTGTTAAGATGTACATAAAATTGCTGTTGTGTCTGGAGAACTGGTGCATATCCACCAAATCTGCCTGCCATTGCGCATCCACATCTGAAACAATGGTCTTGTTTCTTTTAAAACGTATTCGAGCCGCTTTGGGTAAAGTATAAGCATCCTGGTCTGAAAGCCAAGCTGTTACTTGTCTTCTATTTGAAGTTTTACTCTGCTTTTTGGCCACTTGAAAAAGAGGGTTCACCCCGCCAAAGCTCCCAGCTTCCCCGGGGGTGAAATATATTTTCTTTAACAGAGCCGCCTGTGGAGACATGACTGTTCCTGGTACCTTCTTTTACTAACACAAGTGTGGGTGGGGGACAACATTCATATGAACACATCTAAATAAGTTTTATTAATCGCCTGGTTTAACACAACCTTTTACAGCCGCCCGTAAAAATGGACGCCATGAGTCCTAACATGAGGGTGTCTGTGCTGGTTCATTCTTCCATTTTGTCCTTTTCCTCTTGAGATCTGTGTCTCAGACATGAGCAAAAACAGCTGATGCATGATACATTTACTCCCACGGGGCTACCGATGTGTAAGTTCTCAAAGGCCTCCAGAAAGGCACCATCGAGCTGTCGAGAGAATTTTTCAAAAAAGAAACAGGGTAAGCTCCCCACTGGTTTTTGATTTAAACAATCCCTGGTTCCTAGCCCCCCATTACACACCCCCACCCCGACCCTCACTTCTTAAACATTCATTTACCTGAGCCACGTCTTTTTCATTCACCTTGTCCGCCCGTAACTCCCCCAAGCCATGATCACCTTCCACCTCCAGGGGGGAGGACAACAAGAGGCCATCACGCTCATCGCGGTGCCTCACAAGCAGCCGGGTTTCGGGGTCGGTTTCCGGTGTGTCCGTCGATGGCTGGGCCAAAGGGTCCTCCTCAGAACTCTCGCTGATGTAGCGCTTTCTCCACACAAGTCCAAAGGCCCTCGGGGCTAAAACAAAGTCCGAAGCTCCCACAGGGCTGGTGAAGGAGTCCATGTTTCCATGATTTCTAAAACACGCGCTCTTGGTAAAAGACAGCCTCTTCTGCCCGATGCTGGGACTTATGGGGTGATGGTGCTGCGCTCTGACTGGGAGAGGGGTCACACGCCCCTCATCTGGGTGGTTCACCCCATCCCAGAACCTGCCCTATTTTGGTCAAATCTGCTCTCGGGGCGGCCCGATTGGTAGACGTTGGTGGGAGGAGGAGTTGTTAGAGGGGTCACACAAATCATTTCCGGATGGGTCACCCCACTCCGGAACTCATCCTGATTGGTCAAATCTCCTCTTGGTCCTATCGGGACAAAACCCCTCCTGATTGGTAGAGGTTGGGAGGAGGAGTTGTTAGAGGGGTCACAAGACCCAATTGTGGAGAGGACAACCCGCCCCGGAACTTGCCCTGATTGGTCAAATCTCCTCTTGCGGGAAGCCTTACAGGGGCGAAACCTCTCCTGATTGGAAGAGGGAAGTGGGAGGAGTATTTAGAGGGGTCACATGATATACCTTGCTTCCGGTCATGTGGCAGCCATGACCCTGGAAGTAATACCCCATGGGGTGGGAATTCCAGTGAAGGGGGCAGTGGTCCAGGGGTAGGGTTAAGGGGTCAAGGGGTGGGGTGAGTGTCACAAGACACACCTTGCTTCAGGTCTTGCGGCAGCCTTGACCCCGGAAGTAATACACTATGGGGCGGCACTTCCGGTGGGGGTCAAGGGGTGGGACAAAGGGGTCAAGGGGCGGGGTTGGTGTTTGATTGACGGTAGGGCCCTCATACTACTGAGGTTACCTTAAGCATCTTAACCCTTTACAGGTGAGAGGATTTTTCCTCTGGACAGGAGGGATTCTAAAGGAGTTTACCCTTCCCTTTATGTTTATGACAACAGGTGAAAGTGTTTTGCCGCTGGCCATGAGGGATTTTATAGCACCGGGGACAGAAAGGTGGTTCCCCTTCCCTTTATATTTATGACAGGTCCTTTCTTATGTTATTATAAAAATACATAAGTGTCACGGCCACATTGTGACTGACAAATAGCTTCCTTTCTCATTTCCACCGTGTAATTATAAAATAACTCCACTGGGATATAAATATTGCACTTCAGTGGACAGTACATAGAGCTGCACAAACAAGTCATTGTGTCAGGAAATTTTAGCTCGTACTGACTTCATTCGTGCTTTTTATCTGTCCTGTCGGAAAACGAGATAAACATTAAGATGAGCTGATGTACCCCCGGAAGACCTGTGTGTACCCCTGGGGTACACGGATCCCTGGCTGAGAACCACTGATCTCCACGAATGCACAAGGGAATTGGCCTCAAGACACATTGGCATCATCTGATCAGCTAGTGTCCCATGCAGGGCTGTGAAATCTCCCATCTCCGGACCCACCAGGATATCATGGGGCAGCCCCAGCCAATCCCGCAGGGGGCAGGTGTTCTGCAACCTTTCTGCAGAGAAGGACCTGGGGATTACAGTGGATGAGAAGCTGGCTATGAGACAGCAGGGTGGCCTTGTTGCCAAGAAGGCCAAAGGCATTTTGAGCTGCATCAGTCGGAGCGTTGCCAGCAGATGGAGGGAAGTGATTATTCCCCTCTATTCGGCACTGGTGAGGCCACATCTGGAGTACTGGGTCCTGTTTTGGGCCCCTCACGACAGAAGGGATGTGGACAAATTGGAGAGAGTCCAGCGGAGGGCAATGAAAATAATTAGGGGGCTGGGGCATGTGACTTAGGAGGGGAGGCTGAGGGAAACTGGGCTTCTTTCGTCTGCAGAAGAGAAGAGTGAGGGGGAATTTGATAGCACCTTCAACTACCTGAGGGGGGTTCCAAAGAGGATGGGGCTCGGCTGTTCTCAGTGGTGGCAGATGACAGAACGAGGAGCAATGGTCTCCAGTTGCAGTGGAGGAGGTCTAGGCTGGAGATCATGAAACACTATTTCAATAGGAGGGTGGTGAAGCGCTGCATTGGGTTCCCTAGGGAGGGGGTGTTCTATGCAAATCAGGTTGCATATCAGGACTCCCAGGTTCTGTCCGTGGCTCTGAAAGAGGAGTGGGGTCTCGTGAGTTAGAGTGGGCTGGGAGTCAGGAGTGCATATCAGGACTCCCAGGTTCTGTCCGTGGCTCTGAAAGAGGAGTGGGGTCTCGTGAGTTAGAGTGGGCTGGGAGTCAGCAGTGAGGACTTCTCGGCTGTCTTCTTGGTTCTAACACTGAATTGAACACATCTTTTTTCTACCTCAGTTTCCCTATTTCTTACATGGGGAAAATATCACTTTGCTATCATGTAGGGACATAGAAGGGCAGGGGAAGGTGTTCTGAGGTTTAATTGATGTTTCCACATGAAAGCTCTAAAAAAACCGAAGTGGGAAAATTTTTCTCTTTCTTTCTTTCTTAAAACTACCTGACACTCACGTCATGAATTTAAAGGCCCCCACACTCTGGAGAGGAAAGAGTTGATGCTCCTGGGATCGCTGGCTGGAGGCGCACAGCCATCAATCCAAAGGCTTAAGAAGCATCAATCGTATTCTGAAAAAGAGAATTGGCAGGATCAGCGATGAAAAGTGGGCTGAAGTCGAGCGTGGCTGAGCTGACATAACTCTGAGAGCAGAGAGTTATGGCGGGATGTGTGTGTGTGTGTGTGTGTGAAAGGTTCACCGCAAAGCCAGGCAGAAATCCCTCTTCAGAGCAGCTGAATTCTTGTTTTTCTGTCTGCACAGACGTGTGGGATTTGTTCGCAGGCACAAGCTACACCCCAGATAGCCACATCAGCAGCTGAAAATGTATTCTAGCCACAGACACTCAGGCAGCAAACAGACTTGTCTGTGGTTTTGAGTCAGATACAAATGACCAGCTAGCAAGATGCCTTTCCCCATCCGGAGAGTTAAATGGAACTGGGCAGAACTGCTGCAAAAGCAGGTGGAATTTCTCCAAGATCTGCCTGCCCACACGTTCAGTGAGGAGGCATTGGTGGTAACAACTCCCACAGTGCCACCTCTTGGTTCCTCGTGGTATTTCGCCCACGGTCACTGCCTGGGGAGGGGGGGGAGCCGAGGTTTGTACTGAGAAGGGATTTTTCCAGCCTCCAGGGAGCGCTCTGCAATGGTGTGCAAAGGTGTGCAAAGGTGTGTGCGTCCAGAGAGCAATCGTGCTCCGGCCCCCTGCAGCTCTGCGCCCCCTCGGAAGGGACCTGCATCACTGTCGTGGCAGAGATCAGGCTGGGTGAGTGAAAGAAGATTTCTACTAAGTGTAGACACCATTGTCCTCCTGAAGCCGGGGTAGAACCCAGAAGTCCTGGCTCCCAGCCCGTCCCCCTACTCTAACCAATAGTCTCCGCTCCTCTCCAGGAGCAGGAACTGCCCAGTCTGGAAAGATAATGTCATAGACGGGGGATGGGATGAGATGGGGAATTGCAGTGGGTGGCTGTGGGGCTGGATCAGGCAGAAGAGAGGATTTTATTGGGGGTGGGGGGGAAGATGAGATTAGTTGGGGGTGGGGTGGATGGATACAAAAGGGGAGGATTGAGCAGCTGGGGGTCCATTGGGGAGCTCAGAGGTGAAGCTCTGTTTCCCTTCCACAGAGGGATACTACTTCTCCTACACGGCTCAATCGTGCCTGGAGCCCCAGAACTTTGAGCCCAGCCCCTTCTCGCTGACCTACCCGCACAATGTCACCGTGCGGATGAACATCGTCAGCTGTGACACCAACGGCTGTAACGCCAGGGCCATCCCAGGTGTGTGTCTGCTGCAAACCTAGAGCCCTGCTCCGGCCACACCTGCCTGGAGAGAACCCAGGAGTCCTGGCTCCCAGCCTCACCCCCCACCTCTAACTCCTAGACCCCACTCCCCCCCCCGAGCTGGGATTGAGCCCAGCGTGTGGTGACTCCCCACCCCTGGCTGACTGTGTGTGTCTGACTGTTCTCAGTGCCAACTGTGAGCTCCGTCCCCAACGGCTGGCAGTGCCTGTCGTTCTTCAACGTGTAGCCATATCACGAGAATGAGAAGGAGAAGAAGAGGGAGAAGGAGAAGGAGAAGGTGCTCTTGGCCTGCACCGGCGCCGAGGAGCATTGTATTGAGGATTATGGGGTGTTAACACTAGGTAAGTCCTCCTGATGGGGGCGGGGTCTGAACACAGAATACGAGGTGGAGACCAGGTGTCCTGGCTCAGTCCCAGCCCTCCTGGCTCTGACCCACTAGACTCCACTCCCCTGGCAGATTTGCAGAGAGAACCCTGGAGTCCTACTTGCTGAGATGCCAAAGGAGCACTCAAGGAGGATAAGGCCACTGCGGAGAAACTAAATGAATTCTGTGCACCGGTCTTCACGGCTGAGGCTGGGAGGGAGATTCCCAAACCTGAGCCATTCTGTTTTCATGACAAATCTGAGGAACTGTCCCAGATTGAGGTGTCATTACAGGAGTTTTTGCAACAAATTGATAAATTAAACAGTAACAAGTCACCAGGACCAGATGGGATTCGCCCAAGAGTTCTGAAGGAACTCAAATTTCAAATTACAGAATGACTAACTGTGGTTTGTAACCTACCATTTAAATCAGCTTCTGTCCCAAATGGCTGGAGGATGGCTAATGACATGCCAATTTCTAAAAAGGGCTCCAGAGGTGGTCCAGGCAACTACAGACTAGTAAGTTTGACTTCAGTACAGGGTAAAATCATTGAAACTATAGGAAAGAAGAGAACTGTCAGACACACAGATGAACATAATTTGTTGGGGAAGGGTCAACATGGTTTTGGTAAAGGAAAATCACGCCTCACCAGTATACTAGAATTCTCTGAGGGGGTCAAGAAGCGTGTGGACAAGGGGGATCCAGTGGCTATAGGGTACTTAGATTTTCAGAAAGCCTTTGAAAAGGTCCCTCACCAAAGGCTCTTAAGCAAAGTGAGCTGTCATGGGATAAAATCCTCTCATGGCTCAGTAAATGGTTAAAAAGATAGAGAAAAAAGGGTAGGAAGAAATGGTCAGTTTTCAGAACGGAGAGCGGTAAATAGTGGGAGTCCCCCAGGGATCTGCACTGGGCCCAGTGCTATTCACCATATTCCGAAATGTTCTGGAAAAAAGGGTAAATAGTGAGGTGGCAAAATTTGCAGAAGATACAAAGCTACTCAAGATAGTAAAGTCCAAAGCAGACTGTGAAGAGGTACTAAAGGGTATCTCAGAACTGGGTGACTGGGCAACAAAACGGCAGATGAAATTCAATGTTGATAAATGTGAAGTAATGCACATGGGCAAACGTAATCCCAAGTAGACATACACAATAATGGGTCGAATTTACCACTCAAGAAAGATCTTGGAGTCATTGTGGAGAGTTCTCTGAAATGACTCCATGTGCAGCGGCCGTGAAAAAAGGGAACAGAATGCTGGGAAATATTAAGAAAGGGACAGAGAATGGGACAGAATAGATTGTGTTGCCTCAATATAAATGCACGGGAAGCCCGCAGCTTGAACACTGCAGGCGGATGTGGTCGCCCACTCTCAGAAAAGAGATATCGGCATTGGAAAAGCTTCAGAAAAGCCCAAACAAAATGATGAGGGGGTTGGAACGGCTGCCATATGAGGAGAGATGAATAAGAGTGGGACTTTTCAGCCTGGAAAAGAGATGGCTAAGAGGGGATATGATTGAGGTCTAGAGAAGGTTGAAGGGTGTGGAGGAAGGAAATAAGGAAGTGTTATTTACTCCATCTAACATAAGAAGGAGGGGTCACCACAGGCAGCAGGATTAAAACAAACAAAAGGAAGTACTGCTTCACACAACGCACAGTCAACCTGTGGAACTCATTGCCGGAGGATGTTTTGAAGGCCAAGACTATAACAGGGTTCAAAGAGGAACGAGAGAAGTTCCTGGAGTACAGGTCCATCTGTGGCTATCGCCAGGATGGGCAGGGAAGGCGGCCCTAGCCTCTGTTTGCCAGGAGCTGGGAATGGGCGACAGGGGAGGGATCAGTGGAAGGTTCCCTGTTCTGTTCATTCCCTCTGGGGCACCTGGCATTGGCCAGAGGATACTGGGCTAGATGGACCTTTGGGATGACCCAGGAGGGCCGTTCCTCTGTTATGTTCTCACATTGTTCCAGCCCCCTGGTCTGAGCACTAGACCCCACTCTGCCTGCAGAGCCGGGTGCAGTCCTCCTGGGAAGGGAGTGTGTGAGAGACCTCATTGGGGTCGGGGGGGGGACTGGGAGCCCCTGATTACATCTCTCTCCCCGCATCCAGGTGACATCAAGCTGATGAAGAGTGCGGCTGGATGTGGCTCCCCTGGCGCCTGCATGAAGAGATTGTTGGTGAAGAAATACGCCCAGGGCCTGGTGGAGATGCTGAGCCGGACCAACTGCTACCCAGCTCCCTGGGCCAGTGGAAGCATCGGGGAGCCCTGAGCCCCGGCCTGGCATCCTCCCCTTCTGCTGCGTGCTGGGCTGCAGTGCACCTCCCTTCAGCAGCCTCCGGCTGCTGCTTCTCTTTGGGGGGGATTGCGGGTTCCTTTTGTGCATTGGCTGAATAAAGTGGGTTGTCCGGAAAGCACCCCCCTAGCTCCTTGTCCCCTGACTGCCCCGTACCAGGCCCCACACCGCCCCTATCTGTGCACAAGTGATGCTGGCAGGAAGAGAACGCGGGAGTCCTGACTCCCAGTACCCCACCCTGTAACCCACCAGACCATACTCCCTTCTGAAAGCCAGGGGTAGAGCCCAGGATTCCTGGCTCCCAAGCCCACTGCAGGGCCAGGGAATGGAACCCAGGAGTCCTGCCTAGATCCCCTCCCCCAAGGCAAGGCCCGTGGCCGGGGGAAAGACACCTGCTGGCTGAGCTCCCCTGGGGAAGGAGGGCTGTGGGAAGGAGAGGCCGTGGCTCACCCAGCTGTCCAGGTGGGCGGGAAAGCCCTGGAGGGGAGAAATGTCCTTCTAGGTTGATTTTGCAGGGCTCAGTTCGTCCTCTTCTCTGGGGCGGCTCCACTGGGAGTGCCAGGCTCAGGGAAGGTGTCAGGAAACAGGGCAGATCCCCCCAGCCGGTGGTGCTCTGTGAGCAGATTTCACCCAGTGTGAACTCCTGGATCGCTGCCCCCGTCTGACCCCGGAGTCACAGCCAGTCCCCTCAGATACTCTCAGACAAGCCGGACTTTGTGAGGAAACCTCACGTACACCCCAACCTAGCCCACCCAGGTTGTCCCCTGCCCCAGGAGACCGGTCACTTACCCCAGAGCCACGGGACCCCAGATCCTCCACCAAAGGCAACGCTGGCAGCCAGGTCTGTAGGAATCTCGCTAAAGGTTCATGAGCTAAGGAAAGGGAATGAGGGTCACAAGGGGTTAAAGCAGGTAAAATTCATGCCCAGGTGAGTCGCAGTCTGTAATTCCAAATGGTGGCGGTGAAGGAAGAAACTGCGATTTTCCAAAGTCTTTTCAGGTGCCCCCAGACGGTCTCCAGGGATCCCCGCTTTGCATCCGGTTCTGGTCCCTGTAAGCATCCAGCCAGCCCAGCGAGGCAGGGTTCCCTCAATCCATCCTTACAGCTTCTTCTCCCAGAGAACAAGGTGGCAGGGCCCCCACCCACGTGGGCTTTGCCTTCGATGGGGGGGAGGGAGGAACGCGGTGGTCTGCACACGCGATGCCCCTGCCTTTGGGGTCAGCACTTTTCTGGTGCTAAAGTTCTTCGTTAGCATCCCTACGGCATTGTCAAGGTTCCTTCCCCACTCTGAACTCTAGGGTACAGATGTGGGGACCTGCATGAAAACCTCCTAAGTTTACTTTTACCAGCTTAGGTTAAAACTTCCCCAAGGTACAAGCTATTTTACCCTTTCCCTTGGATTTCCACTGCCACCACCAAACTTCATCTGGGTTCCTGAGAAAACGTAGTTTGGAAACGTCTTTCCCCCCAAAATCCTCCCAACTCTTGCACCCCACTTCCTGGGGAAGGTTTGGTAAAAATCCTCACCAATTTGCATAGGTGACCACAGACCCAAAACCTTGGATCTTAGAACAAAGAAAAAGCATTGAGTTTCCTTACAAGAAGACTTTTAATAGAAGTAGAAAAGAATCACCTCTGTAAAATCAGGATGGCAAATACCTTTCAGGGGAATTAGATTCAAAACAGAGAGAATCCCTCTCGGCAAAACCTTAAGTTACAAAAAGACACACATACAGGAATATCCATTCTATTCAGCACAGCTATTTTCTCAGCCATTTAAAGAAATCATAATCTAACACATACCTAGCTAGATTACTTACTAAATTCTAAGAGTCCATTCCTGTTCTGTCCCCAGCAAAAGCATCACACAGACAGACACAGACCCTTTGTTTTTCTCCCTCCTCCCAGCTTTTGAAAGCATCTTATCTCCTCATTGGGCATTTTGGGTAGGTGCCAGCGAGGTTACCTTTAGCTTCTTAACCCTTTACAGGTGAGAGGATTTTTCCTCTGGACAGGAGGGATTATAAAGGGGTTTACACTTCCCTTTCTATTTATGACAACAGGTGAAAGTGTTTTGCCACTGGCCATGAGGGATTTTAGAGCACCAGGGACAGAAAGGTGGTTCCCCTTCCCTTTATATTTATGACAGGTCCTTTCTTATGTTATTTTAAAAATATATAAAAGTGTCACGGCCACACTGTGACTGACAAATAGCTTCCTTTCTCATTTCCACTGTGTAATTATAAGATAACTCCACTGGGATATAAATATTGTTCTTACAGTTCAGTGGATAGTACATAGAGCTGCACAAACAAGTCATTGTGTCAGGAAATTTTAGCTCGTACTGACTTCACTCGTGCTTTTTATCTGGCCTGTAGTAAAATGAGGCAAACATAAAGATGAGCTGATGTATCACCGTGGAAGACCTGTGTGTACCCCTGGGGTACACGGACCCCTGGCTGAGAACCGCTGGTCTCCACGAATGCACAAGGAAATTGGCCTCAAGACACATTGGCATCACCTGATCAGCCAGTGTCACATGCAGGGTTGTGAAATCTCCCATCTCCGGTCCCACCAGGATGTCACGGGGCAGCCCCAGCCCATCCCTTAGGGGTAGGTATTTGCCAACCTTTCCGCAGAGAAGGACCTGGGGATTACAGTGGATGAGAAGCTGGCAATGAGTCAGCAGGGTGGCCTTGTTGCCAAGAAGGCCAAAGGCATTTTGAGCTGCATCAGTCGGAGCGTTGCCAGCAGATGGAGGGAAGTGATTATTCCCCTCTATTCGGCACTGGTGAGGCCTCATCTGGAATATTGCGTCCAGTTTTGGGCCCCCCACTACAGAAGGGATGTGGACAAATTGGAGAGAGTCCAGCGGAGGGCAACGAAAATGATTAGGGGGCTGGGGCACGTGACTTAGGAGGGGAGGCCGAGGGAACTGGGCTTCTTTCGTCTGCAGAAGAGAAGAGTGAGGGGGAATTTGATAGCACCTTCAACTACCTGAGGGGGGTCCCAAAGGGGATGGAGCTCGGCTGTTCTCAGTGGTGGCAGATGACAGAACGAGGAGCAATGGTCTCCAGTTGCAGTGGGGGAGGTCTAGGTTGGAGGTCGAGGGGAGGGACGGCATCCACGGGACAGCAACCCAGACCCCAGGGCAGGTCACAGCGGTGAGAGCTCAGCTGCCCGGCCCTGGGGAGCAGCTGGCCGCACGCCGCATGGTGGACGTCTCTTGTTCTTCCTTCGGCGGCGGTTGCTACTTCAGGCTCATGGTGGCCAGTGAGAAGCCGGGAAGGCTGGGCTGTGCAGGCCCTGGGGCCCGCCAGCCCCTTCTGCCTGCAGTCCCACCCCTGTTCTGCTCCTTCCCCCGTGGCCCTGCCCCGGTTCCCCCCACAGTCCTGTCCCAGTCCACCCACCCCCTTGCAGCCCTCCCGCCCACGTCCCCAAGACCAGGAAAGATCTGTCCCACCGCCAACTGGGGGTGAGAGCTCTTCCAGTCCCCGGGCCACAGCCGCAGCTGGGATCCGGGCGCTGGGGCTTCCTCCGCCACCTGGCACTTCTGCCAGGCACCGGGCTTGGGGTGCAGGGGTGCCCATTTTCCAGGGGGCCCCCAATGGGCTGAGGCTGCTGGGCACAGGCCCTGGCGGCCCATTGGCTAATCCGCCACCGCTGCACTGCGGGTAGGGGTGCAGGCTCCCCTGGCTGAGCTGCCCTGGCAGGGCAGGGCAGGGCAGGTGGGGGCAGGGGGCAGGGGGCTCTGTGTGTGGACGGAGCGGGGTTTGGGTTTAAACACGGGTCAGAGCCATGTCCACAGGGAGAGGGGGAAGCCGGCTGGCTTTGAAACAGGGGAGCGTGGCTCCGAACTCGCTTGCAAAGCCACAGGGTGTGACAAGAGGCTCTGGCCCCATAGGGAGCCTGGGGCTGAGCCTTGCCCAGAGCTGGGCCAAGGGCATAGCCACGTAAAGCGGGAACTGCCGGGAGGCTGCGGGGGCCTGGCCCACTGGAAATCCCGGCCCGGGCCTCCCTTTGTCCTAGTGCCTATGGGCCCTGAGAGCCGGGGCTGGAAGGAATCCGGGACAGGCGCTCACCTTCCCAGATCTGCCCGCTGATGGAAATGCACTGGCTGACACGGCCCTCGCACTGCAGGGTCTCCGTGCTGGAACAACTGCTCCGACCAGGGGCAATGCAGATCGGGCACCGGCCTCCCGTCTAGACGGTGTTCATGATCGGCCCTGCAAGACCCCCAAAGAGAGGGTCGGTGGGGGTTGACGGGCAGGGCTGAGGACAGGTGCCTTCTCTACTTTGTTACCACTTATTTCTAGCACCGCAATAACTGAGATCAGGGACCTCCTTGTGCCAAGAGCTGCACAGACTCCCCAGAGCAGGGGCCCTGATTGCACTGGGCACTGCATAGATCCCCCCAGACTGCTACTGGGGGCCCCCCATTGTGCCAGGCACTGTATGCCTCCCTCCCCTGAGATCAGGGTCCCTCCTATGGCACCAGGTGCTACACGGGACCCCACCCTTCTCCAGAAAAGAACCTTTTCCGAACCAGTTTGACACTCAGTCGGAGCCTGGGCCACTGGGAACGAGCAGGGAAGGATGCAGAGACATACAGACAGGAGAGAACCGGGTATTGCAGCTGTTCGTAGAGCAGGTCCGGGATTGAATCTTCACAAAGACCCCGTTCCCGAAGAAGAGGAAGATATTCCTGGTCGTAGCGGAGGATACACAGGAGAAGGAATAGCCTGCATTTTCCTTCGCTTCTGGTTAGAAGCGAAACAGTCACAAAAATTATTTACAGATGAAACCAGCGCCCCGAGGGCTGGTGATTCCTGGGAGCCACCTCACCCCTTTTCCTGGCGTCCCAGGCCAGAAGGGCCCATACCCAGCACCTACTCTGACCTGCCGCACAGCCCAGGCTGGAGAAGTCCTCCCTACATTGTGCCCGATCACGTGTATTTGATGAAAGCATCTTCCAG